CGATGAAGTTACAGTAAAATATAAGGATGAAGATGGCGATCTTATAACCATCTTTGATAGTTCAGATCTTTCCTTTGCAATTCAGTGCAGTAGAATCCTGAAACTGACACTGTTTGTTAATGGGCAGCCAAGACCGCTAGAATCAAATCAGGTAAAATACCTTCGCCGAGAACTGATAGAGCTTCGCAACAAAGTGAATCGTTTATTGGATTGCTTAGAACCTCCTGCTGAGCCAGGACTTTCTACTAGTCTGCCTGAAAATGATGTTGCAGAGGGTAGGGAACACAAGCCTGCTAGTGCCGATTCAACTGTCAAGCCATCTACTCAAGTTATAGCAGCAAGTATGTCTGCTTTTGATCCATTAAAAAATCAAGATGAAATCAACAAAAATGTCTTGTCAGCATTTGGGCTGACAGATGATCAGGTGTCGGGTAAGAATATATATTTTATTGAAACTGTTGCTGAAGTACTCTCTTTCAGAATTGACCAGGTATATGGCAATTTTATAGATGGTACAGGTAGTCTTCAATTAAGGGCCAGGTGCTTAACAACCATTCAGTTTAACAACAGCCTTGGAAAGAGTGCTTTATGCGCCTATAAAGTACTTCTGACCATCACAAAGCTTACAATCAACACCTCTCTCTCTCTCTTTTTCTCTCTCGCACGCACGCACGCACACACACCATAGCCATGTGCTTGCAGTCTGAGTGCTTGGTTGCCTGCTTGCCAAGCACCTCATGATGCTATTTGAAAGCACTTGCAATCCCCTCTACTGGTTTCCAAGCCAATGGGGAAGCTAGTAGGGAAGGTTGAAGCTACTGCCACCTCCCTGATAGGGAGAGATGGCAAAAAGACAAAGGGAGATAAAGATTTTAGTTTGGTGTGTTTGCTTAACAACTGCAACTAGGAGTGCTGGAATTGAGGTTGCTGAGTTCAGTATTCATGTGACATCTTGCTTAACAACCAAGATTCCATCCTACTTGTGGTTGTTAAGCGACAACTACTTGTACATGAAGACATTTCAGATTTCAAATTTTTGCATTATGTTTACTCCCCCAATGGGAGTAATTCCATACCCCCCCTTTTAGAGTCTTTTATCTAATATACGGTATTTTTTACTCCATAAGATGTACCCCCGCAAAGTGGATGGAAATGTCTGTGCATCTTATGGGATGAAAAATACAGACGCGGTGGCGGGGTCCTTTTACAGTGCTGAACCCCACCTCTTCTGTCTTTGTCATTATCTATTTTCCTCCTCTAACTTGAGTGCGTCTTATGGTCAGGTGCATCTTAAAGTGCGAAAAATATGATACCTCTTTCCAACTTGAATTCAGTACAACCAATATCTCTTAAGTAGACCACCAAGTATACATTCGAACCATCATACAGGTAGTCCTCATCTTAGCCACCATTTATTTAGTGACTATTCAAAGTTGCAATGGCACTGAAAAAAGTGACTTAATGACTAATTTTCACACTTAGCAAACATTACAGCATCCTCGTGATCACGTGATCAAAAATCAAATGCTTGGCAACTGGCATGTATTTATGACAGGTGCTGTGTCCTGGGATTATATTTTGCAACTTTCTGACAAGAAAAGTCAAGGGGGAAACCAGACTCACTTAACAACTATATTATTATTTGTGATTCACTTAACAATTCTGGCAAGAAAGATGGTAAAATGGGACAAAACTCAACAGCTGTCTCGCTTAGCAACAGACATTTTGGATTCAGTTGTGGTCATAGGTTGAGGACTACCTGTGACCAATTGTTGCACTTAAACTGGAGGCAACTAGATTCAAGTTTCCACCTTGCTTACTGCATGGTTTTGGGTCCATTATTCTCTCAGCCTAAATCACATCAGAAGATAGTTGTTGAGATAAAACTGAGATGAGTAGAGTATAAGAAATCTTGATATTTCAGTGAAAACTTGTGATATAAATGTGGAAGAGACAGACTTGGTCAACAATTTATTACTGTATTAGTTTACTAGGGGCATAACTATGCCTGTGCAGATAAACATTTATCGGTTCACATTGATCGAATTTGAAGTAATGGAAAGTGATGTTTTAGTAGGCAGTCACAATCAGTTCATAACAGCTGTTAATAACATACTCAGGGATTACCTTGGTTTACATAAATCTGACTTTAAAAATTTGGGAAGTCTGTATATTGGGAATATATGTATACTGAATTTCTGAACAGCAACAGTGACAATATATTAATCTCACACCTGAAGATCAATAGTTAAAAAAACACAATAAGGAATAAAAAAAAGATAAATCCAGTCTGTAGAAGAAAATCCTATCTTTTTTTTGCATGCCAACTATTAATGTGGTGTTTTTGAAATGACAGAGAATTGCTATTGCATAGTAGATACACATGACAACTTGTTGCAGAAATATCCCTGAAGTTTAGTGAAATGATAAAGTTGCAACATTGATTTAATGGATTGGATTCATAACATTTTGCTGTGTGCTGTGAAGTTAATTGGATTCAACTTAATTAGCTTGGAATAGACTGTTAAAAATAAGTTCCAGCTAACTTCAATATCAGTTAAATCTTTTAGTATAATATCTGAATATGAAGTTTAGAATCTGCTTCTTTTGATGTACTCCAGAATCTATCTGTAACAGTAATTAATTCAGCATTATAAGGTACATTTTAGGAAATTAATATCAGTTGGAGTTGGTACTACTATGAATAATTGTGAAACTCATCATAGTTATTTTTGACTAAGCTAATGGTCAAAACAGATGAGAAAATTACTTTGGTTAGTAGCAAGTCAGTAATACTATTTGAGTTTCAAAAAGTAATATAAGCAAACAGCAGATGGCAGCATTTTAAAGCAGATATAACATGGCAGCACTTAAATATAAAAATGAATTAAAAAATGTGGTTTAGAGCAAAGGTACTGCCAGGTGTACAGAAATTGCTAATTTGGAAACTAATAGCATATTTGCCTAGTATTGGAGAGATTATTTGCATTATTTAAAATAATATTTCTCTGTATTGAAATATGTATTATGTTCCCAATTTTATAACTTTTCTTATGGCAGCCGTTAAGTGAACATCACAATTGATAAGCAGATGCCACATTAGTTAAGCAAATCAATTATTCATGATGTAGCATTTTTTTCTGAAAATGAAGTAATTGCTGGTTTTCAGCAAAAATGTCACAAAACACATTTCCATGACCTGAAAACCCTGGGTATAATTTCCAGAAACCCTCCAAAAGTAGTAATCAAGTAGTGATTTCTAAGTGAGTGAAGGGAAAGTTGCATAGAAAGTAATATTACCTATATTTAATTAATTTGATTGAAAAGAGACTAAAATTATGTGAAATTAAATTTTATTTCAATGGTTTCATTGTGGCTCTTACCATTTTTTGAAGTAGGAATCTAGACATCCATTCGAAGGCTGACTAGAAAGCTATGCATTTCTGACACAGAGAATTAATTGTATTAACGTTCTGCAGCCATCTTAGTGTAGGCTGTTTATTTATTTGCATCCCATCTTTATTATGAAAGTAAGATAATTGGATTCCAGAAGGCATAGCGGATTATTGTTCATTATTTTCTTTTCAAAATATTTTCTTTTCCAGGGCCACCCAGTGCCCCTGTGGAGGAACGTTCAGGAACGCCTGACAGTATCACTTCTGCATCCTCTGCAGCTCATCCACCACAGCAACCATCATATGGAGGCTCTCAGCCCCAAACTGGTCAAATGGATGGTAAGCAATTCATTCATGATTACCCTACTCCCGGTGAACATATTTGCCCTTTCGTATCTCACAGTGTGATACAGTTTATGATGTTTGCTCCTGCAGTTCCACACCACTTTTGGCTGTTTGCAGTTTTATTTAACTGTTCTTGGACTTGCTACTCTTACTTCCATGACTGTGTGCCTTACCTTTAGATTTCTCTCAAGCATTTATATCTTGTGATATTTTTGACTTGTTTTTTTTTTAATCTTCGTTTTCAAACCGCATTTGTTCACTTCTGGATACATTTATGTTTAGTCATTGCTGCTTCATTTTTTCACTGTCAAAATGTAATTCTGTTTCTTGGAATTGGGGGTGTTGTTTTATATTACTCTAAAGTGATTTATACGCTAACAGATGGTTTTTAACTGTTTTAATTCACCAAATACAGGAAACATGCATAATGTACAATTTAAAAAAGGGGGGGGGATTGTGTAACCTAGCACTAGATGGTGCACTAATGCTGAGTCATAATAAAGAGTTCTCTAAAATGAACGCATAAAGGCTATTTGAAGGATTAGCATAGGGGCTTAAAAATGAAGCACTATTACTAGAAGTACTGGTTAAGTTTTCTAAATAAATAGTTAGAAATATTATCATTTTAAAATATCTGGTTTATTTCACAGACATTTGGTACATATGAAAGAAAATTCCAATATTAGTTCTGACCTAAATATATGCACACAAAACTGCCTTTCCAGAGCAGTGTGTGTTTATGCAGGCTCTTCTGTTATAGTTGTTATCTCCCTCTTGGTAGGTATTCTTTCCACATGCAGGCAGTGATAGTGGTCCTGCAGATTGAGAGAAGGAAGCATACTCCCCTGTTGATAAAGTAAAAGTTTTATCCCAAAGTGTTTTGCATATAATTGGTTGCTATCCTTCCCTAAATCAATTTTTATTTACTGCCACAAGGCAACTATATTCTGATCGATTGATTTTGGCCACAAATGGATTACAAGTGAAACTCGAAAAATTAGAATATCGTGCAAAAGTTCATTTATTTCAGTAATGCAGCTTAAAAGGTATATTGTATATGAGATAAGACTCATTACATGCAAAGCAAGATAGTTCAAGCCGTGATTTGTCATAATTGTGATGATTATGGCTTATAGCTCATGAAAACCCCACATCCACAATCTCAGAAAATTAGAATATTACATGCAATCAATAAAACAAGGATTATACATAGAACAATATTGGACCTCTGAAAAGTATAAGCATGCATATTTACTCAGTACTTGGTTTGGGCCCCTGAAATAAATGAACTTTTGCACGATATTCTAATTTTTCGAGTTTCATCTGTATATTTCTCGTTGGAAAATTGTTTGGAGGAGAAAATATACATTCTTGCTACGGTACACTTGGCCCTAGAAAATTATCAGTTATAGGTAGTTCTTAAAAGCGCAATAAGGAACAGAATTTCTATTGCTAAGCAAGGCTGTAAAGTGAGCTGTATCTAATTTTATGAATTTCTTTACCATGGGTGCTAAATGAATCAGTACAGTTAAGTAAATCAAGTGGTTGTTGAGTGAATCAGACTTTAGAGGAAGCTGTTTGGAAAGGTCACGAATGGCAATCACATGTCCCCAGGGCACTGCAACCTTGTCAAGCACTCACATTTTGATCATATGACCATGGGAAGCTGCAACAGTTGTAAATATGAGAACTAGTTGTAAGTCACGTTTTGCAGTGACATTGTAACTTTGAACAATTGCTACACAAATAGTTATAAGCTGAAAACTATCTGTAAATTAATTCTTTATTTGTTTTTAAATTCTTATTTTAAGAGAACAATATATGAGAAAGATTAAGGCAAAGATAAAGCAAGCAATATACTAAAGTTGTAAAATTTTTAAATCGGTAGGCCAAATGTATCAACAGTATCCACAACAGGCTGGATATCCTCAACAGCCACAAGCTCAACCTCAACCACAATATGGTGTACAATATCAAGGTAAGAAGGTGGCAGGTTCTTCAGCATTGCTAAAAAAATTTGTAACTACTTGACTACTTTGTAGTTTAGTTTTTAAAATAAAAATAAAGCAGGAATGGGTTATTAAGGCACAAGTACTTTTAAAGCTCTTCCCATTCTCAAGTACTTTTAGATACGTTTAGAGCTGTTTTGGAGTGATAATATATATATTCCTATGTAGCAACTGAATGCTACCATTGCTCAGAGCTGATTGCTTTAATAGTTTATATATGATTTATATCATGCATATTTCAGTGCCCTCATTTTTAAAGGGGATATTGTACAACTGTTTGAAAAATCAGATGGAATGCATTATTATGATAATTGAGTTTAACATAAAAAATAAAATCAGTAGAAAATGCCCAATGGTTATGTTTTGCTTGCTCATTCCACCAGATTGCAGATTGCCTCTAGAAAATAATCTAGAACCCTGCAGTTGCAGTGAAACTGATCCAGTATTTTCAAATGCCCAATAAATCAGATGACTTCTAGAAGAAAAGTTGTATCTGAATGCTTACATTTCCCTTGAGCATTTTGTTTAGGATGAATCTGCCAAAACAAAATCTGAGGCCCAACTCCTACAGACATACAAAATAAATGCCTCCTGAGTTTTAGCAGCTGTTAATATAATTACCAACAGTTCTTTCTGTGTATGGAAATTAGTTTTGTGATGCATTACAGAGAAACCATTCAGTTTTCTGCGTAATATTTATATATGGGTACATTACAGATGATAGTCTTTACTTCTTAGTATCATCATTCGTTGTAGGTCAGCTTAGTTCAATCAAAATTGTTTAGTTGTGCTCTTGATTGTTTCAAAGTAACAGGTGAGTTCAAAATTGACTTCAAAGTTGATTTTAGTCATTGCTTTCTCTTAAGGATCCTGTCTTTTTAATAATTATTATGTATCTGGTATTTAATGCTAACAGGATTCCAGACATTGGAGAGGTTTCATTGCAAGTAGCTTCAGGTGTGTTTTATGCAAGAAATAAATGGAGTTCTTAGTCTCCCATTCCCTTCCAGATTTTGTTTCACATTACCAGTGAATTTGTCTTTGAAAGTTATTTGTGATATAACTGAACACACAGAATTAAGAATATATACACTCCTGTCTACATTTTTGTATTTGTGAAAATGATATCGAGAGATATCTTTTGCATTCAGATGTGTATTGATTGTTTCATGCTGGGATCTACATGCAGACATACTGATAATTATGGAGGTGCTAAGCATTTTGAACTCTAAAATTTTTGACTTGGAACTTGGCCATTTTGAACTCAGATGTTTTCAGCAATCTGGTTTTAGAAACAATGTTGAAACGGGCACTTCTCACTTTTTAATGGATTATTATTGATGTTATGAGTGCAGAACAAAAATATGTTCCCAAAATAGCATTTTGTGGTTGGAACAAAACACTCAAAGTCATTTATAGGTTTTGTTCTGATGGAGCATACATTGGCCTCTCCTATGGAACATTTTGAATGGGACTATTTTGTTACAAGCTTGAAACAAAACATGTTTCCCATTTGGTCCACATTTCTTTAAAATGTTCATCTGTTCTAAAGAGACCTTTCACATATCAAAATACGTGCAATATACTATATTTTGTTTATATAATTTTATTATGCATAATAAATAACAAATTCATACAGTTTCACCTTGTCTACCACCTCATCACTTTTTAAAATGGTTTATATAGATTCCCCCCCCCCCCCACACATGCTTTGTTGAAGTGTATGAACTGTATTTTTGATGGTGCCGGATATTAAAGTATTTTGTTCACTTACACAAATCAACTTTTAGAATACAGCTATGTGAAACTGTTCCCTGCATACAGAACACTATATTCATATATATTCACGATTGTAGAACTCTGAATTCATTTTTTCAACAGCTGTACTTAAATTTGATAACTTTCAGAATATGCATACACATTTGTGCATGCACGAACACATATACAAATTCATTTTGAATATGGTAATGGCAGTTATATACAATGGCATGCACAAAGATGGAAGAGTATTGAAATTTTCAAAATGGAGGAACGAATCATAAAACTCTTAGAATTGGCAGAAATGCGAAACTTCCCTGTTTAGTCAAATGCTTTTTGAAAAGGCTGGAAACCTTTTATGGGAATTTTGCTAAACAAAGAATAAAACAAATCAACAATTTGTAGATTTTATAATAAAAAAAGATGAGAACTTACCATAGGGTTGAAGGGATTTCTGGAAGAGATAAAAGGGAAGGGGAGGTGATAGGCTATCAATATCTGTTGAATAGAAGATCGGAAGTTGTTATATTTTATAACTGTATAACTGTCTTTTTTGTTGCCCCTTTTTCTTTTCTGTTTTTATTTGTCTTTTACTTCATGTAAAATTCAATATAAAGTAAATAATGCTAATATAAAGAAGCAAGTTCTACTTTGATTTAGTCTTTGTTTTAATTGGATCTCTTAGCAGGCTACAGCCAACAGACTGCTCCTCAACAAGCACAGCAGTTCCAAGGATATACTCAGCAAGCTTCCCAGGCTCCAGCTCCTGGCTTTTCTGGCCCAGCTACACAGCTGCCAGCTCAGCCTCCTCAGCAGTATCAAACAGGCACTTATGCTCCACAAAATTTTACAACTCAGGCCTCCCAATCTGCTAATTATAATGTAACTCCAGCATCGCAACCTGGAATAGCTCCTAGCCAGCCCAGCACCTACCAGCCAAGACCTGGTTTCACCCCACCTCCCGGAACTACTATGACTCCTCCTCCAAGTGGCCCTAATCCTTATGCACGCAGTCGTCCTCCATTTGGCCAGGGCTATACTCAGCCAGGTGCTGGTTATCGATAAGGAAACTATGCTTTTAAAGAGCCCCAGGTAAATCCAAGCAGCTGCTGATGCTGTTCCACCTGTACAGACAAGAAGATTCTTTAATTGATATTTAAAAAATATTGAAAGGCAAAATATTGTATGGTATCACCTTTGCTCTTTAATTTTCTGGGATAAATGACCAAATGAATCTTGTTTCCTGCTTTAAATTGTATTGGCTTTCTAGTGTAATATTTGTCCCATTGGAAACACTACCTAAATGTATGTAAAGCAGATGACATTCTGGTTTGCCATATTAAACTGCTAGGTGAAAATCTAGCTGACTTTCTTGAATTGGTTTTGCTAATAAAATTAAGTACTAAATTAGATCCACTTGTTAAAAATTAGATAACATATAAATTGTAACCTTCACAATGCAATTGAATAAAAACTTTCAAATCATTATTTGATCAGTTGCAGAGAAGTCTGTTTAGTAAATGTTATACCTATCTTTCTAAAGAAAACTAAGTCTCCAACTCCCAGGATTGTGTTGAAATATTTTTCACATAAGAACACATTTGAAGCAATTCCTGTTATTATAGCAGCTGAAAAATGCTGTAGTAAACATTGTGTAACTTTGTTCTTTTCTTTGCGTATATCAGTAAAAATGACAGATACTTGAGTGATGATTATAGCCAAGGCTTTGGCAGAAAAACTCAAGCAAATTAAATAAATTAAAATGCCTTTCGTAACAGATATTAACAGGAGCTTAGGACTCTCAGTGTTCAGCGAGCAGTAAACTTCTTGTAATGGAAATAGAATGCTGTTGTTATGTGTTGTCTTAACATTTTGATTAGATAATAAATAGCTTATTTTAATTGTTTGTAAGTTAAGGTGATGTTACCATGGCACACTTACAGTGAATTACATCAGTATGCTGGTAAGGCAAGATATCTTTATGGGTTGTTCAGAAGGGCTTATGAGTGTTGGTTTTTGTTTAGATCATGGGTGTCAAACCTGCTGTGTCACATTGCCGTTACGTGACATTGTGATGTTTTTCCCTTTGCAGAGCTGGGGTGAGTGTGGCCTGCACGTGACACATCTGGCCCATGGGCCGCCAGTTTGACACTCCTGGTTTAGAGCATTATGCACATAACATTTTTCTTGAATTCTATTCAGATGTCCCTGTTCAACACTTTCTTCTTTTTCTAAATCAAGCCCAAGGATCAAATATATTGGTTTATTAAAACTGTATTATTTTTATCTGTTGTATAAAAACACATGAAATTAATGGAGATCAATTAGATGAGCCAAAATATTGAAGGGACAAAAACCCATATGGTAACTATAAAGTATGTGACAAATTCATACTGTCTTTAGCATCTATCTTTTATTGAACAGATATTTTTAAAAGTGTATTTTCACAATGTTGAATGTGCTTGTCAATTACAGCATACCCCAGAGTTTCAGTCCTTGGTAAATTTTCCCCACTCTGTCCTGGAACTGCTTTTCAGTATTAGTGTTATTCCGTTTATCTTGTGCCTGTCTCCTTGCACTTCAATTTGGCATGCGAGAGATCCAGGTTTTGTATGTATCTAATGATCTTTACCTATGTACTGTATTCTTTTCTTTTCTGCCATACATATTTTGAAGCTTAAAATTCAGCACTTATTTCCACGAACCATAACAATTGCTTAAATATATCTTGTTTTAAGAAAGTTTGTTTACTATTAATTTATTTAAAAGATTTCTATGGCCATCCATGTTATAGTTAAAACTGTGGGAGTCTTATAGCAACAATACAAAAAGCATGAAAACAGTAAGAAAAAACCAAAAACTCCTCTTTCTACTCCTTTTCATCGTCCCAGGGTATCTTAACAACTACCCCATGGCCCCCACTTCACTGTTGACCTGGAAAACAAAAAGGATGGGGGTCTGTTGGAACACCTGGGGGAAGGTGTTCCATAAAGTAGTAATAGCTTTGGAAAAGGAATGCTTCATAGCTCCTACTAGATGGCAGTATTTCAGAGAAGGGACATGGGACATGCCCATCCTATTCAGTCTAGTAGGACAGACAGGTATTATCAAATGAGAGGCAGTTCTGCAAGTAACCTACTCTTGTGCCATTAAAGCTTTAAGTAATAAGCACCACTTTGAATTGCATCAGCAAGAAAACTGGTAGCCAATGCAATTGACACAATAGAATGTAACCTGGGGAAACCTGAGGTACCCAACATTTAATTTCAAAGTTTCTGATCTGTTTTTGAGAGAAGCTTTATGCATATCAGCCCACCCAGGTAAACCAGAACAGGAAACATAACCAGAACAGCTGATTCCACTTTATGTAAGGCTACATTAACAACTCTTATAACTCTAAAAATACAAATCTGCCGCTGTCTCTTTCACAGCCTGAGAAGATAAGGAAGGTCCCTTCTGAATCATATTGTTCACCCATTAAGTAGGTGTATCATACTCTCTTACGTGATGGTTCCCCAGGCAGCATCTGTTCCCTGCCTCTCAAAGTGTTTCTTACATATTATATGTATTAACACATTTTCTATTGAAAATGGATCACAACTATCATCCCTAGCGTGAAAATATAGTGAATGAAGCTGCTAGAAGATGCTCAGAACCACTTGGCATGTTAGTATCAATTACACACTTATTTCTTCAAGGATATATGCTCCTTGGTCTTAGCAGTTGCCTGTCCATAGTGTTCTCTGCCTTGTCAAGTGTGTGCTTCGAAGAATCAACTTGATTTGAATTGAATCAACAAGATAATTGGATCTGACGGATCTCCCCACAATAATCAGTAAAATCAATCAATCTCCCTTTTTCATGTTAAAATCTCACTATATAATTTTATTACAGCTAATAATACCCTGATTATTTCTTTTTTTCCTACTTGATACCAAAATATTGTGGAATTCCCAACTGGTTATCAGCTTCAAAGAATTGAATGTAAGTTAACAAATTGAGTCTCAATTTAAGTAATATGAGAGTGTTTGTTGCCAATAGAGAAGCTACCACAGGGCTTGCAGTGGAATTTGTTCTGGGTAAAGATGTACAACGTGCACATATTCTCATAGCCCAATTTCAGAGAGCCAGAGGTGCTTTTACCTAGTTTTATCTACCAACCAGCTTCATGAGTCATGCCTTAAATTAGCTGTATGGTGACACTGTCCTTGAAAAGTGTTTAGAATTTTCAGATAGCACAAAATTCAGTTGCTAAATAGGTGTCCTTTATAGATTTGAATTGATTTCTTGATCAATGAGTTTTCTTGAATTGATTGTATTTATTTTTGAATGTGTTGTAAATAAAATGAATTAATGTTTATTAGTACCTGATGTGACATTTTGCAAAGGCATAAACAAATTTCAGAATCTTAACAGTGAACTAAAATGCTACTCATAAGCCTTCCTGTAAAAATCATTTGGACATTTTTCTTGATAACTCAAAAAATCTGTGATCTAACTACACACAATTCACAGAACAATATATGTGTTCATCTCTCCTACTACACACAATTCACTTAGTCCTCCAGCTTTCCATGTTTATATTCTATATTTAGGCAAAAAATTTACAAATGGCACATTATATAATACAAAAATTGTCAAGCCCTAAGATTTTCAGTGGTTAAGCTTGTGAAATGTTGAAACCCTTCTAAATGACTTTTGCTTTGGGGTCTCTCAATGTAGTTTATATTTTAAAAAGCTCATGAAGTAGAGTTTTATGCATTTTGAATTTGTCATCAGATAATTTAAAACAATATTGTTCCTCATGTCTGTTTTCATTATTTCAAAATGATCTGAAAGACACTGAAAAGCCTTCTATAATGGATTCTTTTAAAAAATGGTGGCAGTAGGAATTATCTTCAAAATAATCCTCATGCACTTTTTTTTCAAAAAATGAATCTGACGTTTCAAATTAGGTAATTTTAGCTTTGTAAAGGCTGAATATATCAATTATGAATCAAACAACAATGATTAAAAACATTTTATTAAGAGTACAATGTACCTGCAGTGTACTTATATTTTCTATAAACAACCGAACCGATATTCCTTATGTTTCTTACATTTGTATACATTAAAACTTACATCTCTTTATAGTGTTTAAATGTTTAAGCAATACAAACATAACATTTTATGTAGGGAACAGCTGAAATATTTTCAAAAACAGTCTTCATTTTCCATTTTATAAAGCAGATCACATTTTCAGTTTTATATCATACAAAACCTTTTTAAATACATGTACTTTGTATATGCTTTGACAGTCTTCTATACAACACACTAGGCCACATTTCTCCACGTTTAACTGAAAAAACTGCCTGATTACATTCTGGATATGATTTACACACTGCCAATCTGAATATACACATTTCCCACAAAACAGCTTCAAGAAGTATGAGTCTGCTGTGTACTTGAAGAAGGAAAATCTTTTTGAAATACCTAAGTAGTCTGTTTAAATGGCATATGAATTTTGTATTCTGATATCTATACCAGAGTACACAGTAATTTTGAGAGATTCTTCCATTAACCACAGCAAAAAATATTAAGGCTTTTGCATCTTTATTTCATCATAGCAATATATTTTCCCCCTGTAAATTGAATGTGTGTGTATGTGTGCAGTGGTGGGATTCAAATAATTTAACAACCAGTTCTCTGCCCTAATGATTTTCTTCCAACAACCAGTTCACCAAACTGCTCAGAAAGTTAATAACCAGTTCTCCCAAAGTGGTGTGAACTGGCTGAATCCCACCACTATATGTGTGTGTATTTACCATGAACTAATTCAGTTTCTGGTGGGAGACAAAAATAGAGCATCCATTTCAGTATATATATATATACTAATAAATGCTATCAAAATCAGGAACTTTCTGACATACAACCAATTTTAATGCCATTTTATAAATGTTGTTGCTATAATCCAATGTATATTGGGAGTGCAGAATAAAAGTTTATATCATTGAAATGAAATCTCCCTTGCCTTGAGGAGCTCTTGCACAATGAAAGACATTTATGTTAGTAGAAGGTTATTGGTATTGGTTCAATTAACATGATTCTTTTTTCCTGAATAATATTTTAATTGAAATCTGAAATCAGAGTGTCAATTTTATCTAAAGCTTGAATAAAATCTGCAACTTTTCAATTGGATTGGATTTTTTATAAAGTGGCAAAAATATCCAGGAATTAACAGAGAATAATTTAAGTATGTTTGAAAAGAAGTAGAATGTGACCATTGGCAATATACATTAATACAAATTCAGAAGATACTTTTTCTTATCCGCTTTTCAGTAAAGGTGCCTCAAAATATCACAACAATAGTAAAAAATAAACTACACCTTTTACAATAAGTAGATAATATAAGATACTATTAGGGAGCCAGCTTCCCAAGACATCCATTTATGATATTTCTTTCTGCAATATAACTGCTACCATTTTCTACCATTTTCTACCATTTTCCAGGTATTGTAGTTCCACACTCATACCAATGAACGTAAGTATTGTGTGTTCCAGCTCCTATTTTTCCAAAGTGGACAGGTTCCTGACGAACAGCTCTAAAATAACCTAGTTAAAAGAAGTTCAACATTTAGTAAAAATTGAAAATGGGGAAAATGACACATATTAAGTAGCTACATTTTGATTTTGAACATACGAACTCTTAAGCAAAATTTAATTACAGGTGTATATTACATATGATCATTTTAGCACATATAGAATTGTTATGAACAACATTTTAAATGGCTTCGTGTACAGTGTAATTTTCAGGTTCATACACAATTATAGCAACATTATTTTCCAGATCAGTATTACCTGGACAAGTCCTAAGGGTGAATGCACTTTTTATTTTATTTTCATCAAGACACAAAATGTAAGTAAATACAATAGATACATATCTGCATATGTAGTGCTTGAGAGACCAGAATTTAAGCCAAGAGCCAAGAGCAATAAGTTGATTAGGAGGTAATATTAAAATCAATACAAGACTGATTTTTGCTTAGTAATAACTGAAATAGTAATAATAGTAATGATTTGCTTAGTAGTAATGAAATTGAGATTATGTATGTCAATATGAATGAAGAGCTCTGTACAGTGGTATGTTTCTAACCTAGTTTTATCTATTCTTAATAGACCATTAAATTAATTTGGCCAAATGAAAATCATCAAGCAGACTGATTTAGCAAAATACAGTTTTTATATATGCTTTCCTTCTAACATTGCCAACGCAATGTTAATTTTATAATCTTTGGAATGGTCATTTCTGACATTGCTGAAATACTCATGCATATTATTTTCAGTTCCTATCCTATTTTGCAATTGGAGTAATCTGATAGAGCACTGTAAAGCTTTGTAGGATAATCTGCCTTTGAAGTTCAGTAATTTAGACTTCAGAACGACCTGCTGCCAACGGTATCTGCCTGTTCCACACAGGGAGGGTGTACGTATGGTCCCTTCATTGAAACAATTATTGTTTGGGATCCAGGAGACACATCTTTTGTGGGCAGCCTCTGCCCTTTTGAACAATTTCCCGCCATCATACAGTTGGCGCCAATTCTATAGGCCTTTAGGTAGGCAGTTTAAGAGCAGTTTTTTCCCCCTTTGGACTTTGGAGTCATGAATTGAGTCTCCAGTGAATAAATGAGAAGTTTTCATTTTTGTTTGCCATTTTCTTTTTTAATACATTTTAATGAATTTGTATTAATTATAATTTTATTTTTTTATGCTGCTGAAAACCCTAGGATTTGAACTGGGTCTCCACATAAATGTATAAACAAACATGGTTATGAAAGTGTACTTAGTTGTCAGGTATGTACTGTATCAAAGTTGACTCTTGTTCTGCTTTCATCACAAAGATGACAACTCTATCACATTTAAAGGTGGGAAATATACAAGAATCCATTTATTATCCTCGGTTTAAAACATACCATCTTTGGAAGGCAGTTGATCTGATGGAAGCATTTGCCCTGTCTTTCCATCTAAATATGAATCCACAAATTGACAATGATCTTCTCCATGTCCTCTCTGATCTCCTATATTATAAAATTTGCCTAGAAAATATTAGAAGAACTTTTAGAATATGATTACAATTCAATCAACTAAAAAACAAATAGGCTATGGGTTACAATGGTAATTGGTAGCAGAATTTCTATCAGTAAGTGATGTAGTGGTAAGATAGCAAGAGCAATAGCTCTTAGACTTTCATACCATGACCACATTGTTTAACGCAGGGGTGTCAAACTCAAGGCCTGGGGGCTGGATCTGGACTTTGGTCTGCTTAGATCTGGGGCGATCCTTGAAACAGCAAAGGACTGGCCCACGGTGCCTCTGCCAGTGAAAACAGAGCTTGCAAGGGCTGCGGGCAACCCTCCTGAGTTCTGTTTTTGGTGGCAGAGGGCTGAAAGATGCAGTTGCAGGTGAAAACAGAGCTCAGGAGTCTGTTTTTGCTGGCAGTTTTCATGCCACCACAGGAGCCCCCAACATGAGTGACGTTGAGGTGGCCATGTCCACCCTGGGCACGCCCACCCCAGCCTCCCGAGGTGAGGCCCTCAATAACATTCCCGGTTTAGCGCATGAATCCCAGCATTCCCTGTTGCCACCAGTCTTTACCCTGATCTAAACTGTTCCTGGCATTTTTACACAAGTATAAACACTATGCTAACCTAGGGAAGATGATTAAGATGGATATTTACTGCATACAAAGCAACATAGGTTCTGAGGCATTCAAATGCTTCTCTTCAGTTTGGAGAATTTCAGTCTCCCGGTTGACATTGATCTGTTATATGTTTATATAACTACACTGATTTACAAAGAACATGTTAGACTTTTCCATAGCTCATTCCCACAAGAATCCTGTGTTGAGGGATAGAATAATTTATGCTCAAACTCAATGGTTGCCAGCATTAAGAAGAGACCCATGATGTTTCATTGTGTTCTCCGTACTGATTACCATGATGTTTCATGTTGCCTGCATACTGATGAAGCTGTCTTGGTGATAGCTACAAACTTTTTGATGTCACACTTCATAAACATTCCTAGAATTATCAAACATGCTTACAAATGTCCAGTACAATTCTACAAAATTGCTTTGTCTGAAATCTAAGTCCAGGCATAATTCTGAATCTAGTGATGTCCTGTGCTGGCCACATAAATAGCCACTCTACAAGCAATTAAGAGAGTTTTGATTTTATACCTTTAAGTGAATCACTGAGGTAAATTTTATATCGAAGGGAGTTACACAACTGTACACCCACAAACTTCTTGTACCAAGTCCTCTTGACATACTGTTTCCCCTTACATTCAGAATAGTCATCATCAGAATTAAAGCCGACTTCAGTCCAAATTGCATCTTTCCCCACTGCAAGAAAACAATAAATGAGATTTTGGTTATAATATATGCCCAAATATAGGTACATCTGACATAAACAGAATATTTAAGTAAAAAAGCAGTGTATAAGAATATTAGCATTATTATATTTCCCCCTTCTTATCATAAGTGAAAATAAAACACACACTGTAGTAAATACAAAATATAAGTATCAAAACTAAATGCAAAAATAATAACAAAAAAATAACTAAAATAGGAAAAAAGAAATACCAAGACAAAAGATGATTGAGAATTCTCATATTTCTTTATTTCTTTTTTATTTTATTTTTATTTATGCAATTGTTAATCATATGATTTTGTATATTTCTTTATTGCTAGCTGCCCTACAGAAAATTTTATGTCAAAAAAGGCTGATTCCAAATTCAATGAATGAACAAATAAGCTAATCATATTGTCTTGCATCTAAGGGAGAAAAAAATGGAAGCTAGATAAATATATATCAGAATAATATTGCTTAATTTACTCTTACTGTATTTGATAACACAGTATCAGCAATTTGTGGGTTCTATAATCTCCCAGGGTTTGAAATGGATACCTGACATTAGAACCATCATTAAAAAAGTGCAACAAAGAATGTTCTTCCTGCATCAGTTTAGGAAGTTCAAACTGTCCCAGGATCCATTGATACAATTCCACAGAAGAATTACTGAGTCGCTCATCTGTATTTCGATAACTATCTGGCTTGGTACAACAACTAAACAGGAAGAATACAATCTCCAACAAAGTTGTAGCTGCAGAAAAAACAATTGCAACCAGCCTGCCTTCCATTGAAGAACTGTATATTGTATAGGTCAGAAGGAGGGCTGAGAAAACATCTACAGACCCTCACATCCTGGACATAAACTATTTCAACTCCTCTGGACGCTGCTAAAAGGCATTGCATGCCAAAACATCTAGACACAGGGACAGTTTTTTCTCTTGTGCTATCACTCTGCTGAACACCTAATCCTCATCATATTGTTTTATATCTAAGTATATTTACCCATGTGGTAGGGCTGTAGTATTATTATTATTATCCTTTTCATCTTTTCTACTACCCCTTATTATTGGTATCAT